TGGAATCTGAGCTGGTGGAAGTGGAATCTGAGCTGGTGGAAGTGGAATCTGAGCTGGTGGAGGTGGAATCTGAGCTGGTGGAGGTGGAATCTGAGCTGGTGGAGGTGGAATCTGAGCTGGTGGAGGTGGAATCTGAGCTGGTGGAGGTGGAATCTGAGCTGGTGGAGGTGGAATCTGAGCTGGTGGAGGTGGAATCTGAGCTGGTGGAGGTGGAATCTGAGCTGGTGGAGGTGGAATCTGAGCTGGTGGAGGTGGAATCTGAGCTGGTGGAGGTGGAATCTGAGCTGGTGGAGGTGGAATCTGAGCTGGTGGAGGTGGAATCTGAGCTGGTGGAGGTGGAATCTGAGCTGGTGGAGGTGGAATCTGAGCTGGTGGAGGTGGAATCTGAGCTGGTGGAGGTGGAATCTGAGCTGGTGGAGGTGGAATCTGAGCTGGTGGAGGTGGAATCTGAGCTGGTGGAGGTGGAATCTGAGCTGGTGGAGGTGGAATCTGAGCTGGTGGAGGTGGAATCGACTTTGAAAAAATCTGCAAATCTATTTTGAAGTTTAAAGAAGCTCCTGTTACCTTTTTAAAGCTTTTTGTGAATGAAAATTGAAATCTTCCAATAACTCCTTTCCATTAAAAAAAAGCTCATGAATTATGCCCGCTATTAATCATGGAATATTGCTATTCTTTCGAGAGGATTTTAATATTTCCAGCTAATCTGAAATTAATAATTTTTCTGTTTTACCCATCTTGTAAAACTAGCAATCAATGAAACACACAATGCTTGGTTGATGAAACATTTTTTGTACGAAAAATTGAAAAAGAGAAACTAAATATCCAAAGAAGTTGATCTTCTGGGTAAAATTTTAAACTGTGCTACACGGTCAGCATCATCTGCCTGCAAGTTCAGGTTGCGACCGCCTAGCTCAATCTGACTACATGAGGATATTTTTTTTTGGATTTAAACATTTTTCTGCTTCATGTTCATCTTTTTTTTTGACAACTTCGTTCTGTATAAATCTTCCGACGTACTTAAACAACGATTGTTTAACTTGAATTGTCTAACAACATCGATACTTTATAATATTTATTCAATAAAGTTTATATTTATAATTAATTAATTGATCAGGCATGCTCAAAATTATTTTCTACGGGCATTTGTATACGTTCGAAGATAGTGCTCATCGAATGACGTTGGTGCTGACATGTCGGTCAGGTAGTGGACATCCAGGTCAAGACGAGGAATCTAAATTTGGATAATTAACAAGATATTTTATTTTCTTTTGAATTACCGTAGCCACTTTAATAGAAGGGCTCCCTACCTTCCAAATTTGAGCCAATTTATCTCGGTTCCTGTAGAAGATGTCAAAAAGTAGTCATTGTGGTAGTTGACTTCTTTTTTATATCTTTCACAGAAAATGAGATAAATGAGCTCAAAAGTGACACTTTCGGGGCATTCTATCAGAGCGTTTGCGGTAACTTACCGATGGATCCCGTCGAATAGCATCAGCCAAATTGTGCAATGTGTCAATAGTCCGAGTAGTTTCGTGAAGTACTACCGTAGGCTCGGTCATCTTACTGAATCGCTGATCGTCAACGTATTTCAATGCGCTTTCACTGGATTTACGAAGATTACTGTAGCTGAATGCACGCTCACGGAATATCACTGGTTCGGGGGTTGGGGGCTTCTGGAAAAACTCTGATTCCGGAAAATTTTTGACCTAGGAATTGCGATTAATTAAATTGAAGTCAGTGTGCAATTTTTATTGAATTTTAAAAAATTCCAGTTTCTAATTTCCTATATATTTTTTTATATTTTGTAAATAGTTATCTAGTATATAATAAGCATCATTCCGGTTATAATATCGAGGTGAAAAATTCAAAAAAAAAACCAAAATTTTGTGATTTTGTTGCCTGTTTCACATTGCTTTTATAATGTCTTCGTTTTTTTTAAAATATCAGTACGTTAGCACCTTCTAAACAGAATCTCAAACACTTTTCCTAAATCGCCCTAGAACTGAAAATTCTAGGCCATCATATTAAGGGGGACTCAAAAACAAAAAAGTTCGAGAACATTCTAGAAGTTTTCAGATTTCTTATGAAATGTTTACTCTAAAAACTCACCCTCAACGTAGCGATTTCTCCCTTTTCCACTTTAATTGCATTATCCACAAATGCAGACATATCGAAATTGGCGAGTTCTTCCTCCGGAATATTGAATTGATCACCCAGGTGTTTGACAAGTGATTTCATTGTCATTCTGTAGGATTTTGTTTTTGGAAGTTTTTTAATGTTTCATTTAGATGTTTTGAAATTTGAAGTGACTTTCAAGGGATTAGTGGATTATTTTACAATCATTACTAATAACATTCACCAAATTCCGTATGTGTCGCGTGACTGTTAACCCATTCAAAGTTAACCAATTGAGCTGAAACCTAGACAGTTGAATCAGAAATTTGACCCGTGGTGTAGTGGCTAACGCACTACGCTTTTGTCCTCGCTACGCGGGTTCGAGTCCGGCAGGCAACAACTTCTTTTTTAAATTTTGAAAAGAGTTTAGAAGTGAGTGGGGAACGTGTAAAATGTTCTCTCTAATCGGTTCGAGTGATATTGCGGGAACGAGTTTCCACATTTTTCTGATTTGATCAGTATCAAGTAGGAAGGAAAAGTTTAGCGGTTAACGCTCGCGCGACGCGGGTTCGACTCCGCCAGTTTGCAACTTTTTTTTTGGCTTTTGTAATGAGTTCAGAAATGAATATGAAAATGTCTGACTGTTTTCCAATTGGCTTAAATGAAATCCTAGAAAAGAGTTTCCCAGTTTCGTTAGTTTCAATTCCAAAGGAAAGTTTAGTCGAAATTTGAATAGTTTTTTGTGTTATCAGCAAATTTCGGGTTTAAACTGTGGGCGTTTTGAATCAGAATCTCTGGCCTTCAGAGGTATCCGGACTGACTTTTTTGAGAAACGGAATCCGGAATTAAATAATTTTCTCGGAAACCGAAATCCTGAATCCGGGAAAATAACATTTTCCGGAATCCGGAATACGGAATCTGGAATACGAAATACGGAATCCGAAATTTTGAGTTCTTCAAATGGGAAGAAAAATTTTAAAAACTATATTTTTGCCTTTTTAGTCGCGGAAGTTCAGAAAAGACAGCGAATTCTTGCAAGTTAACAAATATTTTTTTAATCCGGATTAAAATTTTTTCTCGGAATCCGCAATGAAAAAAATCACGAAATCCGGAATCCGAAAATCTCTGCTAGCGTTACACTTCCTAGAAAATATGAATTTTTGAGATTCTGAGTTCGAAAATAAAAGATTTCAGCTGTTCGAAAACTGAGAAACAGGAAATATTGAAATTCTCACCGGAGGTTCAAAATCGGAGAAGAACTTCCGAATTCGCATTTTTCGGAACTTTCAAATATAAAACTTTCCGAAATTTCAGTTTATAAATTCCTGGATTTCCGTATTCCTGACTTACTGAGTTTTCAAAATTTAGAGTTCCGAGATTTTAAATAAAAGAGGCTCAGCCACTGTAAAGTGTAAACCGACTTTTGTATTCGCCGTTTTATTTTCAGAATTTGACTCATAATTTCAAAATTTAAAAAAAAACCCCTAACAAGGTCTTCAAAATGGAAGTTTTTGAACTGCGAAATTTTCAACTAAAGTTCTGAAAATTTCGATAACTGTATTTCCTCTAATATGTAGAAACCGTCAGAATTTTGAAATTTACAATTGCAGAATGAAATGTCGAATTTTTCAAAACATTGAATTTCAGAATTCTTAGCTTCCGAATTGTCAAATTTCTGATTTTTTTTTTGAAAATAAATTGTTGAAAAATAGAAGCCGACCTTCTAATAGAAGTTCACCCTGAGAAAGAAGTTGAAAAATAGAAGTCCATGAGCTTCCATTAGAGGAAATATGGCATCATAAAATTTCTAATTCCTATTACACCGAATTTCATAATTTCCTATTTTTATGCCCTGAATAAAAGTGGAGAAACGTTTTTTTTTAAGATAACGGGTACTGTAACCGGAGGCCAGAAGGTTCAGCCCCGAAGGGGCGCAAACCGACTGGTGGTGAATATTTGAATGGCCTAGTAGTTTTATTACAAGAAGGTCCATAAGTAGTGTTCGCAGCAGAGCTTGCTGATCGCGAAGCTCGAATATAAACACCTTCATAAAAAACACCTTCAAACTTTATTCATTTTAAATTTGGAAAACAAAAAATACTCACTTTTTTCCTCCAAACCAAACGACCGCCTGTCCGACATTTTCCATTTTTCGCCCGATATAATGAAGTTTCTTCAATAAATCTGCAGCGATTTCGATGGCCATGGTGGTCAACGCCAAACCGATTCCAATGTAAATCAAAGTGATGAGGAGATAGTCGAAACTGAAAAAAGGTTCAAAAATAGGTTCATAATTCTTGGTAGTTATTTGTTCAATGGTATGTATGTATATCGTATCAGTAACTTTTTGAATTGAAGTTTAGATTTAGATTTATTTATTTTTAGAGCGGTGACAGCCGGTACATAGGAAAAAGGCAGCCCCCTCTCACGAGGAGCGCCTAATAAGTTAAAAAGAGAAGTTCAAAACCTCCGGACACTTTGAATGATGCCAAATTTGATATCCTAAAGGTATTAGGTTCGTACTGGCACCATTTAAGAAATGATATGATTAAGCATGTTGTGAAACAGAAAACATTGAGATATCCGTTCATAGCTGGCCTGAAGCTCCAAATTTTTGGTAAAATACGGAAATCAAGGAATTCTAGAAAACTTTCAGGCATTTCTTTAGACTTTTGAGCTACCCCTGCTGGTTCGACACTGATACCATGAAACCGGCGGTAACTTTGACCCCATTTTTCTCGTTTTCTGTAAGGGATATAAAAAATTATCAATCAACAAAATGTTTGTCATTTTATGATAAACATTTCATTAGTTGACCACTTTTTGATATCATTTACAGAAATTGAGATAAACGCGGCTGAATTTGACGGGTTTCAACAACTAAACTCTCACCTTTTCGGCACAAAATCTCCCAAACCAATTGTTGTCAGTGTAACAAAATTGAAGTAGAGTGCTTTGAAAAAGTCCATTTCCGGTTCGTACACGGACAGAATTTTAGCACCGGCGACAAGGTAACAAGTGAATGTGATACCGAGTGCAATGGATTCTTCGGTTTTTCTGAAAAAAAGTTAATTTCTGTTTCAAATGGGGTATGTAGATTTATGATCAGTGGTTGGCTTTTGATGTAGTCTGTATATACTTTAGGAGTTCGCCTTTCAAGTAAGGCATCTTACTCGATTTAGTAGGTGGCTTTTGTTCGATTTTCCATACGTATTGGTCTCGTAGTTCAGCCAACAATACATCTCCTTGACAGAAGAACCTTACCTTGGCTCATCGTTCTTCTCCTCCTCTTCTTCTTCTTCCTCTTCCTCCCCGTCCTTTTTGATCTCCTCTTCTTCTCCAGGCTCTCTAGCCGTTCTCATCTCCTTCATTTCCTTATCAGTACTCCAAACTTCTGACCTCTCTGAATCCGGCTGCACAGGACTCGTCTTTTGAGTTCCCTAAATTTACAGAACTTCGACTTATAAGAATTTCAGAACTCACTTTTCTCCTAAACCGCCTGAAAAATTTCACCAGAAAAAATGAAAATCGTCTCGCCATAGTTAAAAGATACTTGAGAAATTTGGTTAGGAACATTCCGAGATCTGCGATTGTTAAAAGTGTAAATGGGACACCAATCACGCCATAGCAGATCAGAAACAGACGGCCTTCGAAGGTTTCCGGTGCCACGTGGCCGTATCCTGAAATGAACATAGAACAAAGAACCCAACATTGCAATTAAGAAGGAATCTGGAATCCTATAGAACCATAAAGAAACAGTAAGAATTTTATTACTGTTCCACTGAACGCTAATTGCTATTAAAATCTTTTTATGTGAATGAAAGTGGGTCAATGCAATCTCTACTTATCTCGTTTTTAGTCAAAGCTATCAAAAATTGATCAACTGACAAAAGTTCGAATCAATTTTCTGTGTCAGGTTTCTTTTTTGTTTCTCAAAATAGAAATTCAATTGTTTGTTGACGTAAATTCGTTCTGTTTCTCCATTGTTATCAGTAAAGATTTCCTCACCAATAGTGGTAATCACAGTGAACGCAAAGATCACCGAATTTCCGATGGACCATTTCTCTTGAGGCGTCTCATCAATCGGCTTTTCTTCCTCTTTTTTCTTGATTTTTCTTCTTGGTTGTTTACCAAATTCTGCAGGAATTGGAACATTTGCTTCTGCATAACATCTATCGATATGGTCTATATTCAGATGCTCAAAACTGTATGGATCGCATTTTGTCTCGTGGAACAATGTGAGAATCGTTCGTTCCAGACAGTCATGGATCTGAATTTAAAGAGGTTTCAGAATTTTTACTTTTTCAAAGTTTTTTGGTAATAGAGAATTCACTGTTTCATATTTGACATAAGGCTATATTACATTTTTTGCCAATTCGTTCTTTGCGGTATAATTTCCCTCGTTTATCAATTGTACTTGCACTTTGAGATCAATTATCTGAATTTCTACAAAAGATATCAAAAAGCTGTCAACTGATAAAATACTTGTCATAAGATCCTCAACATTCTATCAGTTAACACATTTTTAATATCTCTTATAGGAATGAGCTCAAAGAGGAAGATAGTAAGGCTGGAGTCCTAATTCCAGTAATGGTTACAATTCACTGTTTCTAGAAGGTTATATATTTTTCATTATTTTTTTCAGCTATTACAGCAACATCATTTAGCAACAAAAATCGTAAAAAAATCGTCATTAAAAATACAATGGGTACCATAGTCCTGCTACGCATCCAGTTTTCACAAAGCTCATAGTCTAAAAATTGTTCAAAATGGACGAAAATTTTCTAGTCCACGACCATGAACTTTGACCGCGTAGCTCAGTGACGATGGCTGGGACTGCATGGTGGACGAGTAGGAAACACAATGACCAGTTTTCGGGGTTTTCGATGTTTTATTTTAAAAGGTTCGTCCTCTACTCACCCCCGGATCCAAAATTGCCAACTCTTCTCCCAAATAGACTCTTGTGATCCGATCAGGTAATCCACTGATCGATGGAGGAGGTGGTGGACGACTTGGAAGATCAGACAGTTCTCGTTTCAGCATGGCGCGTCTAAAAATTTTTTTGTTGATAAATGTTCTCTGTTTCTTTTCAGTTGTTTATGGGACAAATATGGGGTTTCATGGTTAACTACTTGTTATTGTGATGCAAATTTCTAACAAATGGGATCATTTCCGGAAGAACATACGGCTTTGTCCACGAAAACTTGCCCACAGATAAGACCGCGTCCGGCCGCTTGCCCGTTTCCGATAGCCTTGGTTAATCATTTAGTTTGCAACTTTTAATCACTTAATTTCTACCGTTTCCCTTACTGCACAAATCAGGTAAGACTTCAACTCACGAATCGTTTTCGTATACATTCTTATAATAAATAAATTTAGCGATGTCTATCCTCTTCTTTGTTTGTCATTCAGTTTTTTTCCCAGAAGGGAAGCGACGATCTCGCGCCCCAGGCGCCCCAGTCAGACGTTTGAAGCGTCCGAGGCGCGGCAAACGGGCTGGTTAAATCATAAAACTTACACTCTAGCCGGTGACTCCAACCATTGCATGGATAGTGCACCGAAGACTGTGTAAATGGCAACACCAGCAATCAAAGCGACATGAACGAAGAGTGTTGTGGCCTGAAAAATAATTTAGTACAGTAATACCGAAACAACCTCTACCATACTATATTTGGGACATTTTGATAAACATGTTATCAGTGGAGCACTATTTTAATAAATCTTGCAGAGAACAAGATAAATTGGCTACAATATACAGCACCAGTCAAAAAGATACAAAAATGTCTTTTCCACTTGATTGTCGGTCATTTTGACAATTTTCTGGAATCTGGAGCTCGTTTTCAGTCACTTAGAAAGCTTTGGAGAGTGTAAAACAGACCTATATTGAAAACTTTGCATTCACAGAACTTTTGAAAATTTCTAGATCTGAAAGATAACTCTTTTTTCATGTTTTCCGTACAAAAACGACTAAAAAAGGGGTGTCTTTCAGAAATCGACGAATAACTAAAAAACTAGGAATTATTTAAAAACTCTGTAAATGCAAAGTTTTCAATCTGAATCCGTTTTACAGCCTCCAAAGTTTTCAAAACGATGGGAAACTTGACAGCCAAGCTGTAGGCTCCTGAAAATGGTCAAAATTCACTGAAAAATACATTTTTTTAAATATACATACTTGTAATCCGGGCCTTTGCCGGGCCTTCGCGGGCGCTGCTATAACTTCTTTCAAAATCAATTTTTTTTGAACCAACTCAATCAGGTATGATAGAGCTCCACGAGTACTACAAAACGATATGATTTGGAATACTGTATCTTGTCTATGAAAAGAGTTACAGAGCAAAAGGAGCAAAAAAAAGCAGGCCCGGCCGGGCCTGCCGGGCCCTGCGAGAAAAGCCACTTTATGATCTGTAACTTTGTTCACAGATAAGATACAGTATTCCAAACGATACCGTTTTGTAGTACTCGTGGAGCTCTATCATATCTAATTTAGTTGGTTCGAAAATATAGATTCTGAAAGAAATCATGGCAGGGCCCGCGAAGGCCCGGCAAAGGCCCGGATTACAAGTATGGAAATATATAATTGGATACGCATGCATCAAATGTGAAACTAATATTTTCAATTACAAAAACTCATTGAAACTGAGAAACTTCATTTGAGGAAAATTTTTACGCGCCGCTACCGGGTAAGTTTGAAAAATGTGTGTTTAAAAACCAGAAATTCGAAGTTCGGTGGCCTAAAAAACTCAAAAAAAATTCCCAGAAAATTCCAAAAATTCAGATGGATACAAAAAAATTGATCCCAAAAGTGTCAAGAAATCCAAATATGGAAAATTTGAAAAGGGATTATTTTCGAATTAAAAATTTCTACCACTAATTTAAAATTTCTGAGATTTTCAAAAAGAAATCCAAAAATATATAAATTGTTCCAAAAACAGACAGGAAGCTAACAATGTCCAGAAAATTAAATTTTGAAGCTTCTCCAAATTAAACATTCCAAGGATGAACTATCAGAGAACCCTGTGAAAACAAAATAATCGAAAAATTGAAACGGAAGGGAAAAAGTATGAGTTCCAAAATAACATGAATTCGAAACAGTGGGATTTTCAGGGAAATCCAAAAAATAACTTTGGGAAAATCCAAATAGTCCGAAAAAGCTGAAAAATTCGAAAATTGCAGAAAAATCAAAGAAATATCAAAAGTTCCGGAAATCTTGAAATTTTAAATCTTAAAAAAAGTCTTCGAAAAGTTTATAAATTCTAGAAAAAATTTTTAAATGTTTTATAGCCCCAAAATGGGGAAAACACCAATCACTGTACACCATGACGCAGAAATGCTCAAGCCTTTTTCTAACGCATCTCTTCTAACAAATATTGTTCTCTGTTTCGAGTTTTCCATATAAAGTGCTTTACTTCCTATCGTGTTATTAGACGTGTTAAACTAAAACGCAATGAACCAACCTCTGCCAAAGTTGACTTCAAATTGTCAACAAGAAACATAGCAAGACAAAAAAGTACTTCGAAAGTTAGGAATAAAATGAAAAGTTAACCAAAAAAAAAAGATGAGGTGTGCCCTTTTTCTTCAGAATTCCTCTTCTGTCAACTTGCTCTTCCGGTGAGCACAATGACATGGCAGAGAGAGCAGGTTTTTCAAAAGAAGACGAAGAAAAATAATTACTCTGCTAGACCTAGATGTTTGGTGAATTTAGTTGGGTTTGGTTGAATGCATTTTTAGAATAGGAGGAGGGGATTTGAAGAGTTCCAAAAAAATTGTTCATGTTTCAAGGTGATGCTAAATTGGTTACAATTTTGAAACTGGAATAAGACTGGTTACCGCTAACATTCGAATAGAAGGCCACTCAAATTTGAATCCATTTTTCTTGGTTTCTGTGAAAGAATTCAAAAAGTGATCAAGTGATGAAATATTTCTGATATTATGATAATCATTTTGCTAGTTGACCACTTTTTGATATCTTTTACAGGAATTGAGATAAATTGACTCAAAGTTGGTGGCTTGGGTCGCCTGAAGTGTTTACGGTGACTTCTGTTTCAAGATGGTGCTAAATTGGTGTACAGTTTTGACTTTTATTGACGAATTTTTTGAATAAGATTACATTCATTTGGAATTAAAAAATTAACGGACCTCTGAAAAAAATTTATTTTGAAAATAAACTAACTCACCCATTGATATTTCTCCGGAATCTCCGGAAATTTACACTTCATCACTGTTTCGGACGGTTGATTGGATATCTGCAAAAAATCATGTTTGTTTTGTACTGTGTCCACTATACATAAACAAAAAAGCGAAAAAAGTCAAACTTTAAGATTCTAGGAAAGAACATTAGTCAAAATTAGACATAATTTTTTTAACGCGTTTTTTTTCAGTTTCAATTCTACATATCTTCAGTAACACTTCTGTTCAATGTTCCAATTTAAACAGGAGTTCGAAAATCGAAATTTAGTATTTTTTGAAGGCTAAAAGTGTACATCGTTTTCACTCCCTCTTTCTTTCTCTTATTTCCTTTATAACACCAGTCAACACTACCTTTGTGTACTTTATGGACGCCCTCTCATCCCCCTTCTCCCGTCGGCCGCCATAGCTCAGTCGGTTAGAGCGTGGGTCTAATAAGCCCAAGGTCGCAGGTTCGACCCCTGCTGGCGGCAAATTTTAAAAAAAAAATATGCCAAGTTTAGTTTCAAAAAGAAGTTACTGTTTAGACTTCGAGATATGTGAGAGTGAATGGATAGTGAGCGTTGATCACTCGCTACTATAAATTGAAATAGATATTTAACATTAAGTGACAAGACACATTCGATTCTGGAATTCTGAAATCGAAACGAGTCAAACGTTCAGAATGAAAAAACGGATTGAAAAGAAAATGAAAATTTGATTACTTATCTCGGCTATCTGAATTTGCTATAAAAGGACATGAACTTTCAAAAAACTATTTTCAGAAAAATTTGACATAAAAATAAAAACTTCTAACACTTTTCCTCCAAATGAATCGATCAATTTTAGTTAAATCACATGTACTATGTGCAACAAGAAAATAGGAAGAAAAGTATAATATCCTAAAATCGAATTATAGAAAGGGGGGGGGCGCATGAGAAAAGGGGAGGCCCATGAGAAAAGGGGGCCCAATTCAAAAGGGGGGGGGGGGGGCAAAATAAAAAATTATACCCAAGTTAAGATTTTCAGCTTTTTTCAAGTTTTGTGGTTGTTTCCACTAAAATTTTGTGCTTTAAACATTTTTCATCATTTTTTGAAATTTTCAGTTAACGCACTTGGGTTCAAGCCAAGGGGTCATAAATCGCGCCCCAGTAAACGTGAGATTTTAGAAAAAAATTCGCTGCTGAATTATGTGGTTGAGGATCAAACTTTTAAACGTTGGACAAAAAAATCACGCGTTGCAACTCGTTGATTAAAACTAATTAGGTCATAGCCACGCCAACTTGGAAAATATTAAATTTCTTCTGGCCTAAAAGTTATTTGGGGCGCGTTTTTTGGCCCGTTGGCTTGAACCCGAGTGTTAACGTCATTTTTTATACATTTTTGTATAATTCTTTTATTTCAAAATTTTGATTTTTCATCCAGTTCAAAAAAATCACTGAAAATCAGTCTTCGTGGAAACATTAATAATTAGTCAAAATTTTCAGCTGAAAGGAAACGAGTTAGAATTTTAGTCTCAACACGGAAAATGTTCAAAATAGCAAGATTAATCTATTTCAAGTTAGATCAAATCATTATCTTCATTTTCATTTTTTGACCAAAGTTGGTTTCGAAAATAACCCTTTTAAGGGCGCCCTCATTTTTTATGACACTATGGTATTATAGTGTAAGTAGGTCCAAAGTGTCGAGTTATTGGGGTTTGGTTCAGTAAACACAAACAGATTTTGGAGAAATCCTAAAAAGAGTGAAAAAAAAATTCAAAAAAGTGAAATTTTCTCTATTTCAGGGTTACTGTAGAAATTCGGTCCCAACAAAAAAAATGGTCAAAATAGTACCAGGAACTCAAATCTGAAACATATGAGTTGATATCATTATTTTGAACAAAAATAATTATTCGGGGTTACGGTATTATATTGCGGCCAGGAGGGGGCGTGGCCTATGGGTATTATAGTCAAAAGCCTTAGAGTATCCCCTATACCCGCCACCTAAAATATCAGACTCCTAGGACCATTTAGATTTTTTCCATTGCCATCGCCTGTTGACTCGATCGCAATTCTCTCAGAGAATGTGTCTTAATTTTCTTTGTGCCCCGTCTTCAACATGTCCCATCTTTTCAACCAGGAATCCCACAAAAAAATGATGAACTACAAAAATTGAGTTCTACATTTGATGCATGATCTCTAAAACTTTTAGAACAAACCGACAAGTTGTAAGTATGTTTTCAGAGATTCGAAATGAACGATTTTCAACTCAAATTGTCGTTGGTTCTTATGTATTTTTTCAGTTTCTACACATTCATAAACTAAGAGCTATATCCAAACTGGTATTGAACCACCAAATAAAAGTTGTTTGAACTCTGGAAATAATAATAAGGAAAAAAAATACTAGCTCTCGTTTCCTCGAAAACTGTGGAAATGAAAAATTAAACCATCCGAATCAGCTATATCAGTTCGATTAGATTGGAACACATATCGAATGGTGAAAAAGGACACAGACTTAAAACACCAAATTTCAGAGAAGTTTAACGTAAGAAATAAAGACAAATATTTGTAATTGAATCAATTAGTTTTGCTTAAATCAAATGTACAATCTGAAAAAGAAAAAATTAAGACAATGATGAAATCTAAACATTGAATTTTCTTTTCTAGATGTCTGGAGAACTTTCTCAAAATTGGGTTGCATTAATTTTGAACTCTAAACCACGGTTTACTGTTTCGTGAAGATCAAAAAGTTAGAAGTCAGTTTCGGTGTTAGTTGTCCAGTCATAGTTATACACAAAATAAATAAAAAAAACGGTAAACACATAATATTTTCGAATTGTGACTTTCTTTTCGGTCAGTACTGGAAATTTTGGGGTTTTCAAAAATAACTTTTTGTATCAGGAATAATAACCGAATCTTTCAAATAATTTTGTAAGAAGATAGAAGGAAAAACGTCAAAACTGGTGTTCAACTTTTTAACCTTCATGAAACTGTGAACTTTTGGTTTAGGGTTGAAAATTAGAGAATATGATTAACCTCTCGACATATTGGAAGAAAATTTTTGGATTTTTCTGTTTCAAATTTTTCATGTGATTTCAGCAAAACTACTATTAAATTCACTAATGCATTGCGCGTTTTTATCATGAAAATTATATTACGAAAAAGTTGTGAACTACAAAAATGGAGTTCTTGACTTGATTTATAATCTCTGAAATTTTCAGATTAAACCCACAAGTTTAATAATCTTTTTTACTCAAATTGTCATTGGGAATATATTTTTCCAGTTTCTATAAATCCATAAGGTGAGAAATATATTCAAAACTGGGATTGAAGAATCTAGAAATAAACGAAAAGCTAGAAATCTTTGGACTCTAGAAATGAAAATAAGGCAAGCAAAAGTACTAGTTCTCGATTCCGCTCAAAAAGTGGGTTAAAAGGAAATGTGAATAAAGTGGAAGTGTCCGAAAAAAAAATGAATAATTGAGAGGGTGGTTGAGGGACAGCCCTTGCTTTTTTTGAATTCAATTGTTTTAGGTTGTTGAAGAAAAATGAAAAAGTTAGAAGTTAGGTGAGAAAATAGCTAAATCATAATGTTGAAATTGATACTGTTACATGTTTACTGTAAAAGTGTATATATTTAAAGGGAATTCGATGGTAGAATTGAAGCTATTCACGTAAACTACATCCATGAAAACATAACCTTAAAATATTTCTTATTTTCGGTTTTTTCTTGTTTTTCGTCACATCTTTCCGCATATTTTTCAATGTTTGGGAAAAAAATGACCTGAAAATAGTCGAAAATCGGTAAAAACGCGAAAAATGAAAATATTTTTGGGTTACGGTAGTTTTCGTTCTGGGATTTTTGGCTATGTGTCACAGGTACCCGTAAGAATCGAAATAAATACTATCAACAAGAGTGTAAAACAAATTGAAGAACAACATCATTATGAAACCGAAATATTATTTTTAAGGTTGGAAACATTCAAAAATTTGAAAATCTCTTATTTTCAAAATAAATTAAACGTTTCTTATTTGAAAGATTACTGTAGTTTTGAAATTCTGGAACGTATCCAATTAAAGAAAGTTGCTGTTTCATCGAGTTTATTCAAAATTATCAAGATTTTTTTTCATTGATTTCATCCACTAATTTTCAGAAAAAAAAACCGTAAACGCTTTGAAATCTTGCACAGCTACGAAGTTACGCTATGCGCTTGCCAAACCGGAAAGTCCATTAACTTCGATTCACTCTATCTCGATTCCTGTTAGATATATGGAAAACTCGTCAACTGATAAAAAGCTTGATATATTATTACAGATATTTTATCAGTTGACAGATTCTATTATATCAATTCTTGTGAAATATATCAAAAATTTGTCAAATTATTATAAAATGTTTTTCATAACATTTCCAAATTTCATCATTCTTATCATTCTTATAATAAATAAATGAAGTTGCGTCTCTTTGTTTCTTTGTCAGTTTGTCCGCACACGTAGAAAAACTTGCAATAAAATATAAATTGACGTGACCCTTTGAGTAAGGCAGAGGAGCGAAGCGACGATCAAAAAAAGGTTAATTTGCGCCGAAGGCGCACGAGCCAGCTGTTTGAAGCGCCGGAGGCGCGGTAAACAGGCTGGTATAAATAAATGAAGTTGCGTCTCTTTCTCGATCTGCCCGAACATGTTGAAAAAATTGAAATAAAATATAAATTTACGTGACATTAAAAAAAGAGTGAGTCGCGAAGCGACGAAAAAAAGCCAATTTGCGCCGAAGGCGCGGCAAACAGGCTGGTCAGTTGACAAAACGAGATAATTGAAAAGAAGGAAACGAAGAAAAAACGAGATAATTTAGGAAACGAGATAATTGAGCTCAAAGGGGTGGCGTTTTATTAAAGGTATATATCAGTTTTTAAGCGTGAAAACTGGCTGTGAATGAGAATACTGTACGAAAGAAACGTTAAGCTTACTATAAAAAATGTATAAAAATCAATTATTTCGCATCCCATAGAAGATATTAAAATTTTGTCAACACTACCAAATTTTATTAGTTGACAAATTTTTGATATATGTATGTTATAGGAAACGAGATTATTGAGCTAAAAGTCCAGGGGTGGTGTTTTATTAAAGGCATGTATCAGTTTTTTCGCAGAACAACTGGCTGTAAATGACAATACAACTGGCTGTAAATGACAAAGTTGGATACACAAAAGTTAAAAACATTAATATCGGAACATTGAAAAATTCAAATTTGGCTAAATTTATGAAGTCCTTGAAACACAAAAAAGTGCAAGTAACACTCTAATAAAAGAACCCAATTGAACTACGAGCTCAATTATCTCAATTCCTGTAAAAGATATCAAAACGTTGTCAACTGATGAAATGTTAACTTTAAGATTATCAACATTTTATTAGTTAACCAATTTTTGATACCTTTTACAGGGAGCGAGATATATAAGCTCAAAGGGCAAGTATAGCGGTGCCGTTCTATTAGAGGTTAGCGTCGAAATTGGCTGTAAATGAAAATACTGTAATTATAACGTTGGATACATAACAAAGTCGTGAACACTTTAAGACAAAAAACCATATGCTTTCATTTTGAGCTCAATTATCTTGATTCCGGGGAAAGTGTGAAAAAATAGAAAGTGGAAAATTTGGCTGTGGAAGTAATCAAAAACTTGTTAACTGATAAAATATTTGCCATAAAATTACCAAAATTTTATTAGTTGATAATGTTTTTAAGATCTCTGATATTAAGCATTAGCGATTAAAAACATGTTTTAAAAAATTATTGGTGGGAACAGTCAAACTTATGTTATTTGTTATGTTTTTGAAACACAAAAAACATTTTCAAACTTTTCAGGTGGTGTTCTTTTAGAGCATTAACTGGATTACTGTACACCGCTACGCAAAAATGCATACTACCGCTCCAAGAAAACCCTTCAAGGAACTGAACAAATTGAGAAACGGACAAGTATACATGTCCACTCCCTCCAATTATAGAGAGAAGAAGAGACGAAGGTTTCTATCCGGATTGCCAATCAAAAAGTGATTTATTTTTTCTTTTTAAAAACATATGGAGAAGAAAAAAGGATTGGAAATAAACATTTTTGTTTATACTAGAACATTTTTTTGCCGCTTTGAAGGGTTGAAGGCACCACACTTTGTTTATAATGGAGAATCTCGGGGAACACGAAAAGAATAATGGATGCAATTTGGGAAAAGAAAAAGAAAATGGGAGATTCAAAAATGAAAGAGGAGCATATGAAAATATAATGGATGGGATTTTGATGACAGGAAAATGGGAGATGAAACGATGAAAAATAGGAAGTGGATATAGAATTCGAGGGATTTTGGTTTCAACTAGCTCGTGAAGAAAATATTGATTTTAAAAATTAAAATAAAGTATGTGGCAACTTGATGAAACACGAAAAAACTCTGAAATATCGAAAATATCTGAAAAGTCTGAATATCTGAAATGCTCAATTTCTAGGATTCTGAAATTCTGGAAATCTGAAAATTTTCACAGCTTCAGAAATGGCTTCACAGGTAAAATGCGAACGGATCCGTTTCGGTGTCCACTAGGTTTTCTATCCGTAACGGGTCCGTTACGGGCAGTTTCGCGAATATGAGTTCGCGAACGGATCCGTTTTTTCAACATTCGCAATCGGACAGGATACGGAGTTCGCGAACGGACCGGATACGGATGCAGCTGGAGGTCGAGAGATAGCTCCAATGCCCATTCGCGAACGGATCCGTTCCGGATGGCCGAGTTGTGAGGGACTAGCTTTCTCTTAACTCTTCCATCATATTTTTGCATCTTTTTTTGTATTTTTAATCTAATTTTTCCGTTTTTTCCAACTTTTCTCGGCAATTGTGCCGATTTCTGTCTATCAAAATTTTCGAAAGGCGATTCTACGATGAAAAAAGGTTTGTACAAAGGTAATTCTTCGAAACATAGGGTTTGTTATAGGTATCACTTAACCTCTCCGTGAGCGAAAGGAACAAAAAATATTGTTTTGATGCTCACTTTTGCAGAAAGCAAGTTGCTAGCTTAAGGTAAGTGCAAACCACATTAGTTTTCGAAATAGTGACTTTTCAAATTTTCAGCGATGGACATCTACTAAACATCTACCGACTAAAACGTTGGAAATGAGACAATTTTCAAAACCCGGAAAACAAAAAATATAACTAATAGGTAAACAGTATGCTGCATTTTCGGAAAATTTCCCAATTTTTTTTTTCAGATTGCTCTGGTTCCGGTTGGTCGTTCAACAAAAAAAAAGGATTTTCATAGTTTCTCGAACTTTCTTGTACGTTTGATTGTTGTTTCTTATATGTTTTCTTAATAAAGTTCCGAATACTAAGTCTACAACTATCATGAAAACTCAGCAAAAATTAAGAGAAACTGAAACAAGGAGCGGCGGGGGTTTTCAAAGAATGAGTCGGAAACGGATCCGTTACGGATTCGCGTACGGTCCGTATACGATTCCTATTTCATCCGCGCGCGAATGGCGGAGAATCCGTAACGGATTGTTCGCGAATCACCTGTGTTAATTCTGTGAAAGTGTCAAACATCCTAATTACATTAGAAAGTCTGATAGTGTGATTATAAAAGACTGAAAATTCTGAATATCCTGAAATTTCAAAATTTTCAAAATTCAGGACCTCCTAAAATTCTGAAATTCAGAAATTTTTGAAAAATCTGAAAACTCAGAAGTTCAGAAGCTCTGAGTTTCTGAAACTCTGTGATTCTCAGATCCTAAAATTCTAAAATTCTAAAATTCTGAAACTCTGAAAAATTAACAGTTTCAGAAATGGCTTAATTCAGTGTCACACAACACAATTTCAGAATTATTATAGCTTCAGGGACAAAACTTTTCAGAAGTATAATAGTTTCAGAAATGCTGACATTCTGAAAATTGTTTAATTCTGAAAATTTTGAAAATTTTGAAGTTCTGAAATCCTGAAATTTTCAAAACTTTCAGTTTTGGAAATGGCCTAAGTAATTGAAGTAATATATAGAAACTTGATGAGACAGATGAAAAAGCTTTAAAAAATTCTGAAAAGTCTGAAAATTCAGAAAATTCGGATTTCTGAAAGCTTTGAAAAAAGAATTCTGAAAAAAAAATTCTTTACAAATTATGAAAACCAGGGAAAAATTATGAAAACCGGAAATTCTGAAAGTCTGGCATTCTGAAACTTTTCACAGTTTCAAAAATGGCTTAATTCTGGGAAAGTGACAAACATCATAATTTAAGAAAACCATTCATTTCATAGGAAAAAAACATGAAAGTTTCTAAAACTCGGAATTTTAGCATTAAAAAAAAACTCCGAGAAAAAAAAATCTGACATCAAAAATATTCGAAAATTCTATAAATTAGTTCCGTACTTTAGGGATTCGACAAGTATGGAGCGCGCTTGGGACTGCCAGCTACAGTAATCTCCTTGAGTTTCTGCAAGCACCGTTACATGAAAATACAGACATAAACATTAATGATTTTTTCTGTTCCATCTTTATGTTATATAAATGTTGTTTCCGTTTTAATTAGTGTTTGCCCTGCCGTTTTAAAAAAAGTTCTGTTTTTTCGCCTTGGACCCGTTTCTTATAATTGCACGAAAAATTTGATGTATCTATGCAAAAATAGAGCTTCATTTGAAGAATATTACGGTATGTCAAACATACGGTATGTCAAAGATGTCATTTGCAAAAATAAGCAAGTACGAAAATTCAGAGATCATCCAGGTCGATGTCCGTGTAGAATATTGCAGATCGTGTTGAGATTTCTAGTGAGCGCTTCTAGAGTGTTTCGATGGATTGGGACGGCTCCTTCAGGCAATGGCCTCGCCACTATTCGTACAGTTTCATTTCCATCTGTTGTGAACTTTCTGTAGTGGATCTCTCTTGGCCCTCCTTCACATCGAACCAAGCGAAAGACCTCAAGACCGTTGAGACGATGAACTGCGAATTCGTTGTACAATGGTTCGTCGTGCAGAAACAATGCTGCCCACCGCATCACGTCGATTGGCTGAAAAATTGATAATCTGAGAAGGATAACGTTTTTTTTTGTTGTAGAAATCTCTTGCACCTATTGACAAGCTGGGGACTGATAACCCAAAGTAGCAACTGCATAGCTCAAACACTTTTTCCACCATAAGAACTTTGTGTTAAACCCTATAATACCAGACCAAAATCTATCAAAATTTGATTTTTTTTTTCAGTGGAAAATTGTTTGGTCTGAACATAAATAAAGCTTCAATTTTGTTTTCAGACAAATCGAAAAAGTTTGAACCACTTTTTCAAATTGGTCCATTTTCCACTGAAAAAGAGAAAAATGCAGATTTTTCCGCATTAGTGAGTAAAAAAAATCTATGCTTCAGGTAAGTTTCAATATTGACTAATTTTTCTTGTTTCAGTGAAATCGAGTTTTTAACGCGCCACATTTATCCTGTCACTTTGAGCTCAATTATCTCGGTTTCTATAACATCTATATAAATTTTGACAGCTAATAAAGTGTTTGCCATAATATCATCAACATTTTATCAATTGACAGATTTTTTGATATCTCTGATAGAAACCGAGATAATTGAGCTCAAAGTGGAAGTATAGAGGTGGCGTTCTATTGTGTAGAAAATCTACTATATTGCGAATATTGACGGTGACGATACCAAACTTTTAGAATTTGTATGATTTTCTTTTTTAAAAACCTACCGTCCATAATGCGAAGTTGGTGGTCAACGTTGGTGGAATTAGCATAAACTCTGATTCAGGCTGAAAATCGGAAATTGGGATCAAATAACTTCGAGCCAATTTATCTCGGCTCCTGTGATAGATATGAAAAATTTTCAAATAACAAAATGCTTGATACACTATAAAAATATTTTGTTAGTTGACTATTTTTGATATATCTTATAAGAACCGAGCAGTATAAGGAGACTCACCAAAAACTTGTCGTAGGTGACTGGTGTGATGTTTCTGCCCCGCTTCTCAAAATACATCTCCACATTCCCAATGGTCGCCTGCCACAGTTCCTTGGTTGGTACCCTTCGGTGGTTCAGCCGCCGCCAACGAAGGATTTCTTTCGATGGTGGACGTTCTGGAGCTTCTCCTTGACGTGCTGGAGCTTCTCCTTGTTGTTCCCGTTGACGTTGGATGATTTGTTGAGCGAGCTGAACGCCGTTGTTCATGATTCTAGAAAAAGGGCCTCTGAGAAAATTGAAAAAGGAGAACGATCGGTATGGAATCCAAAACGCAAATGGAATCAAACGAAGAACACTGAAAACCCAGAAAAAAATTAAGATCTTTATGAGTATACAAATATCAGGCAAGAAGAATGAAATGTGCAAAAAAGTATACACTAATCTTGAACAGGATGGTTATTATAATCATTAATGACTCGATTCAAATTGCTCATCAATTTCAAATAATATCCTAGTGGCATTTTGTCGAAGCACCATTCGTTTGGATCGTTGACAAAAATGTAGAGATCTCGACCGTCCATATCTAGGGGTACGAGGTAGTCGACGACTTCGGGAAGGAACTGACGGGACCATTCCATGACGTCGTATGCCTGGAAACGAAAATTGGGTACTGTGATTGTTAATCTGTTCATATCGGTTAGGCTGCAAATGGGTAGCTCAGCCAGAAGCTTACTATTAGAACGGTCTGGCTGGCGGTCAAAATGGGTCAAAAAAGGGCCAAAAGTAGGCCAAAAGTAGAACAAAACCGATCATTAACAAGCTAAAAACGGACTATGCCGAACCCGGCTCAAAAAATTTCAGATAGAACCATAGTATTCGTCGTGTTCTAATCTTTGAAAATTCCTAGCAGCTCTGGAACCTGAGCTTATTTCCTATTGAATGGATGATTTGGTCAACCGTAACCTGCCCAGGGCCCGGGCGGATACTCGGATCCCAAAATTTGAAATTGTTCCGTTATGCACACCTCTCCTTTAATGTCAGCCCAGATTTGGACAAGTTCAATTGAAATTTTTCTACTGCTTCACTAATCAATAAATTTAGACTATCTCCAAAGATTCTTACATCGTGTTGAAAATTTCAAAAACTCACATCCCAGTAGATCCATACATTAGTCTTGTTCGGCGGTAGATAAAGTTGGTTGCTTTCCGGCTGAAATTTGAAAAATTCGATTTGGACCAAAATTTTTAGTAGGAAATGCTGAGCCTTTGAACAGCTATTCCCTAGTTCTGGACTCCACAGCCACAAAAAACCCACAATTCTTCGCGCGGTTCCTTGAAAATGGACCATCTCCGCCACCTCATCGTCATCATCATCATCGGCCTGATCCTCCTCCTCTTCATCATCATCATCCTCTTCCTCACCATCTTCCATCAAAATATTCCTCACCGCATCCGCATCTTGCTCACCAGCTGGAAGTGCTATTCCACCAACATCATTCCCTAGTATCCGTGCCAACTCATGTCGCTGTTCTTGCAAAGCTTGGTCCAGAAGATAATCTGCATCTGGGGCTTCAACAACAGGAAATGTTCTCTCTATTCTTCTTTCGAAATGGCGAAGATTTTGGAAGAAATGTTGTTCCATTTCATCGATGTCTGGATGCGGTCGCCGTCGATTCGGGGGTGGTTCTTGCTCCTCGACGGCTTCTTCCTGCTGATCTTCCTGGTGATCTTCCTGCTGAACTGGCTCTTCATCGTCAACCACCAGGACCCAATTTTCCTCTCGATTCCAACCAAGTCTATATCTTTCAATCCGGCGTCTTCTCTGCTCATCCGCTGGCAGGTTTCTCTCACGTCTTCGAGCATTCAACTCGTTTTTAGTGGCATTAATTTGACGCTCCACCAGAACCAATAACTCCTCATCCGTCTGATCCGCACTCATTTGCAACACGCAATGCTCCTTCTGTGTTATCGTCCTCGTCATCTCTTCATAATACTGACCGAACGGCTCGTGAATTTGAGCATGACGACCGACGAGTTTTTCCCCACAAAATCTCGCATATGCTCCAGCACATCGAATTCTGAGTTTAGCAAAATCCAGATTCTCTTCCAATACAACTTGCCTGGCTTGTGGTCGACGTCTCAAAGAAGTTCGTACTGGCTCCAGATGCTTTATAAAAAACCTCATTTCTTCCTCGTATGATTCATTAAAGATTCTTTCGTGGGCTAGCATCACTTGAATTTGTGCCCGATCTCTTCGATTGTTCCTTTCTACTTCCTGTTCTGCTTCTGCTTGCTCTTCTTGGCGCTGTTGATGAATATGATGCTGAACTGCATTCAATTCTTGAATATACCGATCCATACGACGTCTTCTTCTTTCCTCTGCCGCCAAGTCGTTTTCCTCTTCTCGATTTCCTAGTTCATTTCTAATATGGGCAATCAGACCATCCACAATTTCAAACCTCTGCATGTCCGGTGCCCGCTCCGCGTGTCTTATCCCTTCCATGTGGATATCATTCATACATACCATCACTTGATAATATTGATGTTGCATTCCTTCCTCTCCATCTAATACTCGTCGAACACTCTCATG